AGGCTGTATTATCCGTCTATGGTTAAACAGAAACTGCAAGGCTATAAAGAAAAACATAAAGACGTTGCTTGGCTATGTTAAGAAAAGTTTAATTATGGTCTGATGCTTTACTGCTATTGTAAGCTTTCTAATTATAAATAAAGGATGTAGAAGGCTGCTTTCAGAAGAGAAGTAAAAGGTATTCAGCCTCACCTCCCCCAGGAGGGTCAGTCAACAGCCTCTACTAGAACTGCAATTGTGGTTTCTGGTATAGTCATTTCTACCGCCACAGTTACCTTCACCTCTTCAGGCCCCGGACTCAGCTTGAGCTGGACTCCAGCAATCCAGCATCTCATAATATAATCTCCACAATGTCCATGCTACAATTAAAAGCCACCAAAGCATGAACAAAAAGAAATCATAAGGTGAAAATTATTCTGATGTTGAATAAGCCAACAAACTCCACTAAATAGCACTATTTTTCCAAACATTGGTGAAAGAAATGAACAGTGAATGTCTAGTGATGCCCTAGACAGCAGGAGGCACACAATTAATAACATTCTGTTACATACTGAATGAGAAAATTGATGGCAACACTAAGATGAATCTCCATGTCATCAAGTTACAGATTCAGGAAGAATAGTAGGAAAAAGGTGTTACTAAGGGAGAAATATGTAAAAGGGGGTAGCTAAAGGGGAGGGGGGAAGATGACTATGCAAAAAAACTATGGAAGGCTTAAGCACAGAAGGAACCCTATGCAGATGAAAGAAAGCCCTTCCAGAAGCCATATGTTGTTAAATGAAAAGCCCAGTACCAGAGGTGGATTGTCCCCCTATGAGCTGTTGGGAAGAGGGACCCTAGAGATCCTCAAAGCAATAAAGGCCATTGCCAATAATGTATACACTGGAAGTGAACTAAAACCCCATTGCTGAAGATACCACATGATGTGAGCATGGGAGAAGGAGATCAAACTTGGACTAAGCTGCAAACTCCCTGCCACTGGATCAGTGGTTTTCATAGTGCCAGAAAGCAATACACAGATGGCTGGGGAGAACTATCCCCTATAATTGTGCTCAAGGACAGTACTGCACTATCAACATGCAAAAGAAGAAGTTCTTGCTGGTGTAATAGTGGCACGTCTCTTGTATGTGCAACTAGCAAATTTTTTATTGGCTATAATGACCATTCCTAGGGGTGGAACACACATCTGGACCAGGCCAGCCCCCTGTGGCAGGGTAGGATATAGGCCCCAGCAGGGAAGCCACTGCAATTGTTTAGTTAGATGGATGTGATGCACCTGCTAAAGTACCATTCAAGCATTTGTGTTTATGCCCATAGGTCAAGTTATTATAGCAGTCACTGTTTAGATGTTCTTGCTTCTTTCCCTGTTTGTGTTTTTATAATAGATGGGATCTTAGTGAAATGGGCCAATAGCCCATGGAAAACAGATGATGCAGAGACCCGAAAGTTCAGTGCCTTGCCACAATGGGAGGAAGATCATCCATGTCTATCACTCCCTCCAAGACTCAGGGACTTTTGAGGAAGAGGTTGGTAGAAAGAACGTAAGAGCCAGAGGAGGGGATGGAGTGTTATAAGGAAGTGTCCTCTGAAAACTATGTCAGCAAACAATAGTCACACCTCATTCCCATGCTCTCCCATGTTCATCAAGGACTTGATGGGGGAATTAGTTACCCCTCCCACCCAATCAGTAGACCTTAGCTGCATGTGGGGTAGGGGTTAAGGATATATAAGCAGAGAACACCATGAGGCACCTTTCTGGCCATTTTGTGCAGCTGTCAGGAAGTCACAATATCTATATTTAAGTGTGGACTTTCCAGTGCAGCCATAAATGGGGGTGCCCACTTTTTGGTAAATAAATCCCCACCCTATTCTCTGCTACAGAGCTAATAGAAATCTTCATTATTCCATGAAAATTGACTCCGTGTTGGCAAATCCTTAGGTCTTTGGGTTCTTATTCCTAATTTCCCTGCTTAAACTTCATTGTGTACATATTTTTATGTACACTGCTTCAAGTTCTTTCTGGAAAAAAATGTGTTAAAAATGGCCTCTTTTGAAACAATAGAAATATTCTAATATTTTTAAAAAATTAAACTCCCATTGTGGAGATCTGGCATTACTTCCTCAGTCTGACATAAAAATGCATTGACCTTATTACACGGTAATAGAGATTGTTAGAATTTCTTGCTTTTCTATGATCCTGTCAAGAATCCAAGATGAAAACCAAAAAAAATAAATAAATTTCAAGAAGATTAGGACATATCATTAAATGCCTGCTGTCCGGGGAATTCCCAGGTTATCATGACCCCCTAGAGTTCAGTAGTATCGGTAATTTCCTGGGTATCATCATTTTGAATTATGTCATGTGGTTGGATTAAGATGGTGGCAAGATTACATGGGTCACCAGTATTTTGAAAATATCACTGTCCAAGATGGCAAACAAGACATGTGTCTGTCCCCATATTGATGATGTCATTAACCAAGATGGAGACCAAATCACATGGTTGCCTCCCTCTTGGTGAGGTCACCAGCCATGCTGGTGACCAAGCTGCATGGCCACATTAATGAGCTCAGCTCCATGATAAAATAAGCCCATGCCCCACCAGGATACAAGCCCTATGGGATTCACATGCCTCACAGAGTAAATGTGGACAGCAACCCTTTTTAACTTTTAGAAAGCACATACTTAGGTCATATTGATATAGCAGAAGAAATTACCCTCAGATATGTAGGCCCTAAGAAGAAAAGAAAAGAAAAGGAATTAATGGTCTCAAACCAAGGTAGGGAGTCCATGCTACTCACCACCCATTGCAGCTGTGAATGCAAAGCAATGTCCTTGTGATCTCTTCATTCCTGAATACAAGCTCTTCCTGAAAAAGAAACTTGTGAAGGAAGTGGATAAAATGGGGAGCCATGCCCAGCATACATTGTTAGGCTGTTGTTCTAAGAGCAACACCCAATTTTCGGCCATAATGACATAGGCCCCAAGCTCAAGTTTGTAGGGAAATTCATAGTCAATTCATATGCAGACGTTAAGCAACCTGAGGTTTCAGAAGCATGTACATGAAGGTTAAGCACAAGGTTACACATAAGCAAGTGGTTACAAAAGATCACAAGAATGCATCAGTTTGGCAAACAGGATTTCAATGGGATGCACAAAGTAGGCAAATGGATAATAAACCACAAGGGGGTGAGGGCAGACGCCTTTCTACTTTTCTCATTCTTTTTTTTCTCTTTTGGTTGTGAGCCTGAGCCTTTAATAGCTGTGCCAGCTCTCCAGCCCCCTTTCTCATTCTTTTCTTATCTCTTCTTATCATGCGGACCTTTCCAGGGTTCAAGATTCTTCACAACCACTTCATTGTCAGTAAATTTCCATTGCCAGCACATTACTCCCTCTTCATCAGCATAATCCCTTTTGTCTTATTCTAGAAGTAATCTTAGAGAGCCCTGAGGAATCACCTGGAGTTTGTGGACTCTATCCCTTTGGGATAAACCTGGTAAACAAGTTTATCAAACAAAGTTCCAATGAGAGGCCTAGGAGGACCATGACTGTCTATCCCGCTAGAGGGACCAGCCAGGGGCCCCAGGTATTCCATGTACTTTTCTGATAAAACTCATCCCCCCCATTTTTATTCTCTCTAGCTGTTGTCTTGCATTCTCTCTAACTGTGCCAGATTGATCTGCATAGGAACAGCATTCTTTCCCTAAAGAAACACAACTTCCTCTCACAAATTTGTGCTGTAATCAGGGCCAAGCCTCTGT